TGCAATATCCTACGCAGGTGTGGAAGCTGCCTTCCTGCACATTCGATTGTCGTCAATGGATGGCAATCGATGTCCGTTGATGATTGGCACTAGATTGCGGAACAGAGACTGACGTTAATTAAAGGAATGAAGAAGAAGAATTCGCTAACTGGGCTACGCTTTTAGCCCAGATAGCGAACAATTACTGTATCAATATTCCATTACCATCATGATCATTACTTTTTTTCTTTTTTCATCTTAAAAATTCCCTCGTCCCAATAGTATAGCTCCCACTGTTTCTATAACTTCGTTGCCGGACTAAATAAGCCCTCATTGAATCCCTTCTAAACTATCAAACTCTACATTCAACCCGTCTCCCTCCTCCAACCGTCATCTACGGAATGGCAACACTCTGCCTCTCCTAAACAAAAAAAAACGCTACTCAATGTTCCACATAACGAAAAAACCATCGAATCAACGTCACCAAAACACTGCATTAGCTTAGCTTAGCTTAGTCTGACTGCACGTATCGATAGTTGCACTCCGTGATTGATCTGAACCAGTGAAATTGTACAAAGAATCAACTGAATGGGGCTTGGTAGTAACCTGCCATTCTCAGTGTACATGTTCCAGTGACTCCTACCTTTAAAGATCAATAACGTCACCGGCCACGTCCTTGCAATCAGGTGGGAGAGGGAAGGAATGTTAGTGTGTGACTTTTGTTGTTTTGGGACCGTGTTTACCTCTGCATCCCACAAAAGTCACAGGAAGGAGGTTTTGTTAGTGGGTTAGGTTCGTTGGATCAGGATTCACCTTAATAAGTGATGCGATCTTTTGTTTTGTGTAGTTATTTATAAGTGTTTTCGATTTATGCTCTAAACAGCCGGCTGTCTAGAGATGTAGATCATTATTAGATGTGTGTATACCGATTTAAACCAACAATAAGGATACTGTTGGGGCCCCTCACAAAGTGTGATGATGGTTTATTTTATTTTATCAATGACCAAAATAATTAATTATAAGCGGTTTGAACCGATTTAAACCAACAGCAAGGATGCTGTTGGGGCCACTCACAAAGTGTGATGGTGGTTTACTTGATTGAATATAAAATAATTATTAGAACCGATTTGACCCGATTTAGACCAACGGCAAGGATACTGTTGGGGCCACTCACAAAGTGTGATGGTGGTTTATTTAGTTCGGAAGAAAATGAATATGTATACTTCTTTTTTTTTTTTATATATAATAGAACGAATTTGTACTGATTCAAACCAAAAGCAAGGGTTCTATTGGGGCAACTCACAAAGTGCGATGGTGGTTTATACTATAAGGGCATAAAACAAAATCAAGAGCCATTTCGGTTTCCATAGCTTCCTAGACACTCGGCCGCAAAATAATCTTATCCGACGGAAACGTCTCGATCATCGCTGCACAATGGTTTATTATAGCATTTAGAAAGTAAATTTGAATACCTTATTGTTTATTTATTATCCATTTTGACTTGACTTGGTACCGTTCAGTTTTATGATGACAAAGTTGCCTGGAGAAAAGTGACAGTTCAAAATGTTTCGGAAGGGAGTCAGCTAGTGTCGTCCAAGTTCAAGTGCGGAAAAAATGCCATTTAAAGTGGTACAAACAATTGAAAGATGCGAAACATGCCTAACCGTAATTCTTTCTGGTTGGAAAGAAGCTGGAATCCTACACTGGCCGGAAAAAAAAACGCGGTAGCGAAACTCTCTCAAGACGAGTTCTCCATGCCAAACCCAATGTGGGAACGTATCAATTGAGTGAAAAAAAGAGAGTTCAAGACTCGCTTGGAGGCTGAAGCAGAATTGGAACAGATGTAGCCAGTTTCGGATACGGAGGCGAACGAAGGGAATAATCCACCACCGTCAAAGAAAGTTTGCCCCGAAGTCTACAAGTCCCCCAGTCGGAAGGGAAACACAATAAGAGACTTTAACGAAGTTTTCCTTATTCCTGGGCAGGAGGTTGACACCTGTGAAGCTGACTGTAAAATCCAGAATCAGATGAGATTATAATATATGCGACACAAATTCACTTTTTAATAGGGGAACATGTGATGTGAATAGAACCCACCATCAGTGCAAGGATTACATATGACTGCAGATACTTCACTGGTTGTAAAGTTCTGCCTGATGGTTTGTTGCAGCTGGGTGAATCAACTTCATTGAAGACCTTTGGAAGACAAACGACAAGATGTACGTCTATCAACACGTGACAAGGGACTGGCAAATCCACGAACACTTGTCCAGTCTACAAATCCATTGAAACCCTTAGGCTGCCCCCCCCCCCCCCCAAACCCAACATATAATAATGTTTGATTGATGAAACGTATTCAAAAAAGGGATATTTAGAGAGAACAATCTTCAACTGGAACGTACTCACCAAATCAATACATCCGGGAGCGCATTCTCGATGCTTAATTTTCTCTAGTCATTTTTAAACAATTCCTCCTCCAGCGAATCCAAACACACAATAACTAAATATCACTTTTCTTCTTCATGTCACTCTGTGCACAAAAGCAATGCACACCGCAAAAACCTAATAATAGATCAGCGCGGTCGAGTCACACTGTCAACAAAGGGAGCGAGAGCACACCAGGCACCAAAGCAACAGGGGAAAAACATCAGCACAAATCATTCTAAATAGAATTATCGCGTCCGGGACATAAAACTATTCAAATGCGAGCACCGAAAAACTACACGGCAGCACAAAGATAGCCCGAGCTCTAAAAAAAAAGCACGCAGCGGAGCAAAAACACACAACCGTTCTCGGACGCTTCTGAAAGCGGACTCCTCAACGTCACCAAAACACTGCATTAATCGAAAAGTCTGTACGATGAAAATAACAAAAAATCGTGACAGCCCCTTAAAAATAAAAGTCTGCGCTCATTAAATAAATACACACAGAATTTAATGTTGTGTTCGATATTTTTTACCGAAATCTTAAAAAAAAATCCGTAAACTTTTGACCTTCAATTTAAAGCTTGCTCAACAATAATTTTAAAATACGTACAACCCTATCCAAATAATCAAATTTTCTAATAATAGTGCAGATTTCGTTTTAAAGTAGCTTTAAAAAATTAAACGTCGCCTTGATCAACCGCGTCAGTTTATCCGGAAGTCCGTACTCGTGCATAATCTGCCATAGCTGATCTCGATCGATTGTGTCGTATGCGGATTTGAAATCGATGAACAAATGATGTGTGGGCACGTTGTATTCGCGGCATTCTGCAGAACCTGCCGAATTTTGGTCCGTGGTAGCGCGGGTACCAATGAATCCCGCCTAGTATCGCCCCACGAACTCTCTTGACAGGCGGCGGCATAGAATTTGGGAGAGTACCTTGTAGGCGGCGCTCAGCAGGTGATCGCGCGGTAGTTGCAGCAATCCAATTTGTCGCCCTTTTTGTAGATTAGGCATACGACACCTTCCATCCACTCTCCTAATATCTCCTCCTCCCAAATCTTGGCAATTACCCAGTGCAGTGCTTCACCACCGTATTTTAATAGCTCACTTGATAGTTGATCTACACCAGTTGCTTTGTTGTTCTTTAGCCGACCGATCTCCTCCTCAACTTCTTGAAGATCAGGGGCCGGTAGTCTGTCGTCTTCTGCACGTGCTCCAAGGTCTATAGCCGTGCCACCTTCGTTTTCTGCTGCATCACCGTTGAGGTGCTCGTCATAGTACTGCTTCCACCTCTCACCGAAGTCGGTGATAATTTCAGAGTGTGATAAACTGTTATGCGCCGAAAGTTACTAACAGTTAAATTTTATTCATAAATGGTCATGCAGCGAACAAAAGGTCGTGAGTTCAATCTCAGGTCCCACCCACTTGGAAAAAATGTAACTTTGATAAATTGCCAGCAACGGTTACCAAACGTATTAGCCATAGATTATCCATTCTAACAAAAAACGTACAGCCGTCCCGTGACACTTAGAAGGGGTCGTTGGGGCAGTTCCAATAACTTCAGGAAAATTGGAGGAACTAAATAGAAGTTGCTCAAAATGTTCAGAGATCTTTAGGAAAGTTACGTAAAATTTGGAACAGTTCAGGGCACATAAGAGCAGAAAGTTCCATGAATATCTGGAAAATTTCGAAAAGTTTAGGACAGTTCCACTATTTTAAGATAAAAGTGGAAATTCTTCAAGAAGTTTCGAAATTTTTAGCGATGCCTAGAGAAGTCCATTTCCTTTAACTCTGGATTTAAGACATTAACACTCCGAACACGATACCTCCTGTAAATTATGTAACATCAAACTTGCAATGTTTGAAAAATCATAGCTCAGCCATTTATTGACGAATTTCAAATCTGTTGGCGCAAATTGAAACTTTATATTTTTAAAATTTATTAAGTATCAATAGATTTAAAATCAATTGATAAATTGCTGATCAAGGATTTTTCAAATATTGCCAATTTGCTGTTACACATTTTACCGGGGGCATCTTTTTTTTGGTTATGTATAACGCAAATGATAACTTGGCTTTGTAACGTTTATTCGATTGAGCCTGAACAAATAAATGAATTCACGAAATAAATTGTGAAATGACATCAGAGCAAAGGTTTCCGGACTGTATCACCTTAAATGCTTTAGCCGTTTTCTGGATGTTGGATGTACTTGCCCGCAAAGTTATACAAAAGATATTCCCTGAAGTTCTTTGAACCTAACCTCGAAACTTTCTGTACCCTTGAACTCCTGTAGACTTTTGTTTTGGAGTTCTCCGGATTAGTCCTGTTAGTTACATGGGTGTGCCTTCGAATGTTGGGGAAATGAATTTCCCAAGACCATTTATATGCTGTCACAAAACCAGAACCGCAATGTACCTATTGCTTGCTTCCCGAAAATTTCCTGGAGTGCTTCCTAAGTAATTTCTCTTTTCCTAATTAGTTCTCTTCCTAATGAACGAGTATAAGCACAGCACAAACTTTCAACGCCATTCAGTCTACCAGTAGCTGCTCATTTATTACCGAACCAAGACGTGACTAGTTTAAAACTACTTACCAATTGCTGTTACTATTCCCCATATCCGGATCAGAGGTCGGAGGCAATGGCATGGACCGCCAAGCTGTCGCCGTCGGTTCCTTCCATCCATTATGCAGTTTGGTGTGAAATACTCTCCCCGTAGCCCCGCGTCCCGTGGCGTTGGTTTCTTTATTTCTCTGTTCAACTTTGGCCAAGCGACCTGGCTTCGGATTCGGAAAATGGCCCTCAATGGGCGAAAAACTTTCCACTTTGGGTGTGTTTGCAAGCACCAGTTCGACGAAAGGGATTTGTTTGCACTTCGCTTCTTTGCGGCCAAATGCTATTGTTGTTTGTATTTGTCCGGTATCCCCGGCCGTCTCGCTCCGGATGCTGTTATGACGGCTTGAATGTTAATTCGTTGATTTATATTTACATAACTTTTGTTCTGCTCCTGTTACCGTTATAATTTATGTCGGTATTTACGTTCCGGGTTGTGCGTGTGATGAAACAAACTTGAAGGGAAAGGCTGATGATGGTCATGGAGAGGCAAAACTCAATTCACAACATCATAAATCGAATTAAGCACGCCTGTGCCTATCACAGTTTGTTTAGTGACGGAGACCGGGATCATGGCGTGGATTCGATGGCGCGGCACAGGGCAGGACGAAGCAGGACAATTTAGATTGTACTATGTGTATACACGGTGCACAAATCCGTGCGTAACGTGCAGGCACAGATTTAATGAGCCTCTGCTACGTGGTGGCGGTGTGGGCGACAAAGACGATGTTGGTGACGACCGACGACGGTGGCCTTTGTTGGATTAATTCGTTTCGTTATATAACGGGCTTAGAGTAGATTCGCTCAGCAGAGGCTGATGGGATCATTATTTCTAGCGGGGTTCTGTCTGGCCTGTTTTTGTGTTTGACACTTTACGCGCGAGCTGATGAAAAATGGTCCAGGCGTTGATAAGGAAGAGTTCTGAAAATGGAATGAAAGGCGAAATAAAATTGCGTTAACAGACGTGACAGAATATCTGGACATTTGATTGAGTGAACCAACAAAAATGATGAAAGTACGACAAAATTTGGAACTTAGAAGTGGAAATTAGTTAATCAGCTACTTGCTTTTGAGGACATTAACACATATGTAGGGTAACTGGAGAAAAGGTAACAAATCGACTAACGTACCCCATTCTAGTTGAAATTCCAGTACAACACTATATTTGTTTTGATTCGCTATGAAAGTTTGACAGATAAAATGAGGGGTTAGTGGATTTTTCTATGTTTCGAGTGGTGAATCGATTAGCTTGGGACCGAACATAGTACCAGAGCTGAGCCAAAAAGTGGAGCACGTTTCTTCGGGACCTACTTGTCTTAGAGTTATCTCTATGGTTATAACATGTTATAGCGCTATCTTGATGGTGGTTTCTGTGTTGCAATTAGTTGACAATCGTTATAACATGTTATAACTCTCCAGTCTGGACAGCGTTTAAGACTAGTAGGTCCCGAAGAAACGTGCTCAACTTTTTGGCTCAGCTTTGGTACTATCTTCGGTCCCAAGCTAATCGATTCACCCCTCAAAACATAGGAAAATCCACTAACCCCTCATTTTATCTGTAAAACTTTCATAGCGATTTGCTTGGGACCAATAGGTTAGTCAAGTAGTGAGCCAATTTAAATCGTTAGTTTCATATTGATTGTTGTTATAACTCTGTAGTCTGAACGTACTATTAGAGTTACCTCTATGGTTATAACATGTTATAACGGTTGTCAAATAATTGCAACACAGAAACCACTATCAAGATAGCGCTATAACATGTTATAACTCTGTAGTCTGAACGTACTATAATAGTACGTTCAGACTACATAGTTATAACATGTTATAGTGCTATCTTGATGGTGGTTTCTGTGTTGCAATTATTTGGCAACCGTTATAACATGTTATAACTCTCCAGTCTGTACAGCGTTTAACCGGTACATCTGCGGCACACTGACACAAAAGATGACCAAAGATGTTTGAATGCTCAAAATCACGAACTTTTTTATTTGCGCCTTCAATATCGACTTTTTCACCTTTATATCTTAAGAAGAGTGTTTTTATAAAATAAGGCGCAAATACTTGTGATAAGTTTTAGTTCTGAACTCCACCACAGGCGGCGCTGCAAAATATAACTTTTTTACATGTACAAGATAGGTATGTGGTGTCTTGAGCAAAGTTGTAGATATCTTTAATACACAGATCTTTGCTCAGCACACCAATCCTCTATATGTCTTAGTTTTTGGGATATGTAGCGTTTTATATGACTGTACCACAAAATTTAGTTTTTTTTTCAGTTTTTATCACATATTTCCAAAACTATAGGTTTTAGAAGACTATAATGTTCTATAAATAATTGAATTTTATAAAAATACCCAACTTTGTTAAAGACGTTCAAATGATATCGATTACGTAGGCTGAGTTATTGTCTGATTTAGTATAAAAATTGACATATTTTGTGCCCTCACAGACAAAAATCTGGCAAAATCCGGCTGGTGAATCTTGAATAGGATGAAAGCTTGTTCAAAAGTGATCTCAAATTCCATTGAAACATTTGTCCTTTCAAGTTTTAGAATGAACGTCTTGCTTTTCACAAAATTGTTGACTTCAGCTGCCACTTGTGGTATTGATGCATCATCAATGCCGTAACAGTCTAAAACTTCTCTGGACACAACGTTTGATTTATCAATTTCGTTTCCCTTCAATACTTTCCGGTCGATTTCAACTGAAATTTTATATGATAACTTATAATTGATATTTTCACAGACAAATTATTTCCATAGACAACTTATTTATATCGTGGATTGGAAATTAACACGAAACACCATATTAACTTTATGGTTGCACTTACCTTCATAGTTGAAATACATACTTTTCCCACTTTTCGGATCTGCTACGGAAATGTTGTAAAAATAACCTCCATTAAATGAACGCGTAACATTTTAAAAGAGCCTATCCTCGTTGATCCATTCTCTTCATCGACTTCCTTTTTGGTTTACCACGGCAACATAAACGAATTTCTCGCTAAGCTCGCAGCACAGTTCGACAGAAGATGATGTTAGCTTGCACCTGAAATAACACACTCAATGGGACATTCATTTGCAGTCGGGCTATTCGCGAAAGAGAAAATCGATGAAGAGAATCTATCAACAATGATAGGCCCTTTTCTCGTGTTGCACGAGATTTCACTATTAACCCTCCGTTACTCGCGCCAACTTTTGTAACACGAGTACTCGCGCGTTGTACTTTGTACAACAGTGTGAGTTTTCCATTGCCATTTTGCAGTCGAGCTACCAATCTATATGAAACCAACGGGTATTCCTTAAAAAACTTGTTAAAGAAGCTTAACTTTTATCACAGTTAACCCCCAAAAATGCAGATAATAGAGAAAATGTGAATGGAAACCGCGTAAACGGTGTCCGTACTACGTGGGATTTGACTTAATTAGTTACAACATGGACAATCTCGAGATCCTGATCAGATATAAAGTTACTGCCTTCGGCAAAGATGTTCTAGAGATCATAACCTTTTTGATGGTGGAGAGTAGTTCAGGAAATTCTTACTACGTGGCGCTAGTATATACGTGCAATTTTCGCAAATACACTAGCTCGAGATCCTGAGCAGATAGAAAGTTACTGTCTTCGGCAAACTTGTTCAGAGGGTTAAGACTTTTTGGCTGGTGGACAGTAGTTCAGAATTTTCTCTCCACGTAGCGCTAGTAAACGTGTACAGTTCTCGCGTTTGCTATAGCTCGAGATCCTGAATAGGTAGAAAATTACTGTTTTCGAAAAAGTTGTTCATGAGGTCTATTGCTTGGTGTACAATAGTTCAGAATTTTCACACTACGTGGCGTTAGTATACACGCGAAATTCTCGCATGTACAATATCTCAAGATTCTGATCAGATAGAAAGTAACTGTCGTCGACAAAGTTGTTCAAGAGGTCATAACTTTTTCGCTAGTGAAAAGTAGTTCAAAATTGTGTCACTACGTAGCGCTAGTATACACGAGAAATTCTCGCATGTGGTTTGTTTCGAGATCCTGACCAGATAGAAAGTTACTGTCTTCGACAAAGTTGTTCAGGAGGTCAAAGCCTATTGATTGGTGTACAATAGTTGAGAATTTCCTAAGCGGCGCTAGTATACACGTGAAATTTTCACATATAAGACCAAATAGAATGTTACTGTCAGGGGCAAGGTTGTTCAGGAGGCCAAGGCCTGGTGGACAGAAATTCAATATTTTCAGATCATTGTATACACGTGCAATTCTCGCATTAGATATATTTCGAGACCTGCTAAACTGTCATCGGCAAAGTTGTCCTGGAGATCAAAACTTGTTCGTTGGTTGACAGTACAGAATTTTCTCACTACGCGGCGCTAGGATATATGTGAAATCTTCGCTGATCCTGAACAGCTATAAATTTACTGTTTTTGGTAAAGCTGTCAAGGAGATAAAGATCTTTTGGCTAATGAAAAGTAGTTCAGAAATTTCTCAAAACTTGGCGAACAATTCTCGCATATCAAATATCATAAAATAAAAATACAATTTTCATCAGCCTAAGTGGGATAAGTGTTGTGAATGGCTGTTCAGTCTCGACAAAATCAAAATACTGCTATTTAATTTTTGTCCTGTCAGGATAAAAAGTAAATAGCAGTATTTTGATTTTGTCGAGACTGAACAGCCATTCACAACACACATCAATTCCCAGTCGAACCGTTCCATAAGTGGGATAAGACAAATATATTCTGGATTTCTTTTACTTGTGAAGATTTTCATGTAGATTTGTGGATACATTAATTGGGGTGAGTCATTCCACTTATATACCTCTGTTAAATTAGTGGTAACACGTATCTCAGATGGAAAACATTATCTTAAAACATCAATATCGCTGAAACTTCCACCAAATGAATGTTTGGAGTCTCCCTTTCATTATAGACTAATTTCAAAATGTCTTATCGAGGGGTCTAGAACATAAAAAAATTCCCGTATTTACGTGTGCATGGACAACGAGACTAACTCAGAGAGTGAGGCACTTTTGCTCAGTTGAATGGAGAAATTTATAAAACCGTACACTCCCGACACCCCCAAAAACATGCAAATGGGTTATGTTCATAACTTTGTCACTTTACGTCTAATTTTCGATCTTTTTAGAACATTTGAAAGATTTTGAATGGAAATACGAAAAGGCAAATTGCTCAATAAAATTTTCAAATGTTGTATGCTTAAGGTTCACCCAAAAGTATTAGTAGAACCCTTATGCTATACCATGTATATAATTCAAGTAACCTAAGAAGATCAATAATTGGTCGTTAAATGAGAGAGCTTGAAACAAAACACATTTGCACGTATTTTGGGGGTGTATATAAGCTTATGTTCGGGAGTGTAGGTTACCCGAGCAAAGTAAAATACCAACCTGATATCATCTTGAAAACAAGTCTTGTTCTTCCAGACGTCTTTTTGGTTGCAGTTGTAATCGCATAACTAATTTAGTTATCAACATCGACTAGTTTTGTCTTCAGTTTGTTGTTATCATGAAAATAATTCGAAATGTTGGAAGGTTACTTTAAAACTTCAAATATTATTCGCATGGTAAGAAAAAAAACACACTGCCAAGCATGTCTCAGTTATCTGCGTAAGGCTTTAATACCAAATCGATAAAATAATTTAAAATTTGTTGAAAATATTTGCATGGATCACAGGATGTGTTATCAGGATGTTTTCAATGATAACTAAATCAGTTATTTTTGTGATATCCACGGAGTAATTTTTTGTTATAATTTTTGTTATGTTGGCTGCTTATTCAACCACATTTTCAGTTATCAAATCTTGATAACCAGGTATCAGAACTTGTTTTCAATTTGGTATAATCCTTTGTTCGGGTACTCAGCGCTGAGTGAACTACGCTTTTGGAAATTTCTCCAGACAACTGAGTAAAGCAAAAGCA